TTTTTTAGGCTATCATCACAAAAGCGTTGATTTTGTGGTCGCTTTTGCGGCCATAAAGTTTCACTTTATTGTACGCTTCTGTCAAACTTTACTTTATTGTACACATCTGTCAAACTGTACTTATTTGAAACTGATGTGTGAGAAACAGTAATCTGTTTGATACAAAGCGTCTATCTGGTCTCGCCCCATCAAGGATTGGGCCATCCACGTGCGTTTTTTTCATTTTCGGACTTGTAGGAATGTTTCACACCATTTTGCATAATCACAATGTTCACATTTAAAATTATAGTTTGACGTTTCAATCTTTGGTGCTTGCAGACCTTTTTGAAGTGTAGAACCAAAACATGAGGAAGATGTTATTGCTTACATTATTATACGAAGAATCACCAGCAATTAACCGAGAACACAAGTAGCTACCTATACCTACCATCAAAGAGTAGGTAATCAATCAGGTTTCTAATAATTGTACAGCATGTTAATTATAAGGTCTTGGAGGCCGCAGTTACGAATATTGCATTTGACATTATTAAAATCTTGTGCAACGGAGGATGTAGCGATTGTACTTTTACCTTTGAATATAAAATTTATATTCAAAGCTTTTACTCTCAAACGCCAGCTCTTATATCATATATGACTTAGGGTCGCAACGCTTGCAGCTTTCAAAATTTCATTTGGGGTATCTGAACTGTCGCTATCACCCATTTTGATACGCACAAAACACACGCAAAGATGCTAATTATAATTACATACGACATTTAATTGTCTAAGATAACTATGATTTTCAGAAAAAATATGTTTATGAACAAATTTTTGAATTCTTTTTTGATGATCGCCTAAAAAATGTTGTGTGCACCTTGGCCAAAAGTGATTTATTAGGCCTCATCTGAATTGCGGCCTCGGCTACCGCCTCGGCCGCAAACTGCAGCTTCGGCCAAAAAAGGTCACTTTTACGGCCTTGGTACACAAATAACTATTTTATTATTAACTAGTAGTCAATAATGAGAACTGTCACGCTGTCACTTTTAGAAAACACAACCCGAAATTTCGCTCAATGAACGTTTAGACAAGTTCTCTAAAACGAATAATTGCAACCATTCGCAATTTCCAGAGAAATTACATACCTAAAATTATCACATTTTGAAAAAATTCGAACGAAATTACTCTTTGAAAAATCTCAATGACAGAACAAAATACGGCCTGTTTGACTTGTACTTCTACTTACTTGATTGACATGTTAAATTAAGAAACAAACAATTCTGTCCAACCGTTAACTCTCTTATCAATATAATATGTTAATTTAGAGGATTTCAAGTGCTAGTAGTGAACAAATAGTATATATACCACGGTAGAGAAGTCTATTATTGCCTCCGCACCTAACACCCCTCGGCGCAAGCGCCTCGAGATGTAATCTTGGTGCTCAGGCAATAATAGTGGACTTCTCTACCTTGATATATAACGTACTATATCGACTTTCGTATTTTTTCTGATAATGTAGTTACATTATGTTTTCAATATAATATGCAGAACAGCTCCGTTTTCCATTTGGCAGTATAGTTTTTGGCATGATTTCGCTCCACTACGGGTGACAAGCCGGCGCCGATAGCAGCCAAGCAAGTGCGCTGCTAGGCGGATCGCGGACGTGCACGAGCTGCATATAGAAATATCATTTACTCGAAAACGGTAGGACCTATCACTAAAATTCTTTCACCAAAAACTTTTGGTGACTATCAGCTACAATTCGTACGATACATGTATAGAGATTCCTCAAATAATAAAAAAGTTTCTCGCAGAGTGAAGTTTACGCTTCTCAATAATCGATTTATCGACTTTGATGGCAATTATGATAATGTAGTTATATCATGTTTTCGATGTAATAGGCATAGTTAGAAGCGCTTACTATTTGGCATTATAGAACTGAAACAATTATAACAATATCTCATGCGGGAGCCGAGATATTCCGGGGTAAATCTCTAAAAACATAAATTTTTATGAAGACACTTTTGAGTGGTTTTTTGACTATAAAAAATGTCATGACCACCGGAAAATGTCGTAAAAGACCATTTCGGATGCAGAATTATAATATCTACATACTCTACTAGGTCTGATCTTGTTATACCTCGAAAAAAAATTTTGTCACATTTTTGGCCCGATTTCGCTCCACTAATGGGCCTAATGAATCGCGATACTTTAGTAATCTAGGGACTTTATTTCCCACCTTGAAAATACATTGTTGCCAACTCTCAAAAATGTATGTATCGTCGTAAGTTGTATACAGGGTGGAACCTCTCAATATACAAATTAACATCGTTTAAAAATTGCTGATATAAGGAAAGGGCTTCCAAATATTATTGAAGACCTCTAAAATGAAATTACGCCGTTGATGTAAAATGTATGTAATTTCAGTACTATTTGCAGAAAATAAATGTGTACACCACTGCATGTATGAACGTCCGCCAGGAACCGTTCATTTCCGACCGTTTAAGCCGTAGAGAAGGAAAGAGTGAGGAGTGATAATAATGATCCTATAAAGTGAAGCCCACATTTGTTTGTTATTTCACCGAAAACTAACCTCAAATTTATACCTGTGAAACGATATACTTTCGTGTGTTTTTTGGATAATGTTTTTATTCGATACTTAAGGATCGCATAATCACGAAAATGAAAAATTAAACAAACTTTGGCTCCGAAAATATGGCCGCCCCAGGCGTCAACGCGCAGCATTGCCCTTGATAGGATATTATCAGTCCCCTTTCTTTCATAGTCTAAGGTTTAAGCCAAGGAAAATGAAAACGAAATTGGACATTTTCTCGGTGATATATCGGTGTTAGGGAGTACGATTAGAAGAGAGCGTTAGCTACCTAACTCCCCAAACGCCTTGCTTTTCACATTCATTTTTCTAGGTTTAAGTTGTTAGTTCTATGGAGGAGGATAGTCTTTCCTGTAAGTAAGTCCACTTAATGTGGAAGGAAAAATGGTGAAAATGAACGTCGAAACGTTTTTTTAGTCACGAAAAGGGGCTTGCATTTATCTGTCACTATTACGGCCCAATGGTGAACCACGAAATTGAACCACCCCAATAATTCCTTAAAGCCGCTTTACATTAGGCAATTTTAGTGCAATGCTCTTGTGCTATGCAATCTAAAATTGCCTTGCATTGCTTATTACGGTTTTACATTTATGCAATTGTGTTGCAACTTTTGTGCAAGTTCAGAAAAGTGTTGCAGTACTGACAACATATTTTTCAAAAATTGAAACTTTTCAGTTTGTTTACACCGAAGGTTATTCTTGAAACTTAATAAAATTGACCATTAGGTATGAGCAAACAAAAGGAAATTAAGCTGGCTACAGCTTGTTATGTGGTGGCGCTTGCTATTAAAAAAATAACACACGCGAAACCAAATAAATTGTGGTATTGACAAAATTACTAGAAAAGTTACTAGAACTTGCGCCAAACTTGCAAGTGAAATAGAACTTTCTCTATTTATTTTTCTTGCACCCAAATTGCGTATGAACATGCGCAGTAACGTATCTCTAATTTGCATTGCTCTTGCATTGCACGAAAATTGCCTAATGTAAAGCGGCTTTTATGAAGAGCTCCAAAAGTTATGTTCCATTTTTAGGGTTATATCTTAGCAACTTGCCCGGATATTTAAGCCATTTTACAACAGGACAGATTTTCCCGAATTCACCTTTTGGATAATGAAGTCTAAAAAAAGACATTGAGCGTACGTCGGGTCGTACTGTTTTAATTACAGCCTGTGTACAAACGTCCTGTATATGAATTCTACATAGCGATCAAAAATGAGTGACCGTCGAGTCACCTTTGGAATTTTTGTTTACATGGGAAATCGTACTTAACTCGAACTTCCAAAGGCGACTCGAAAGTCACTCATTTTTGATCGCCCGATATAATTTGTACGTGTGCCGCTCCTGTACTTTCAATCGATTCCTGTTGCTAGCTTCTCTCGCGATCATTAAATCGGGCTTCCAATCAAGTTCAGGGAATTCCCCTCTGTAAACCCGACTTGATCATGAAATTCCATTGACGTCACAATTAATTATGTATTATTATTTTTGTGTTGGTTTTTAATTTAAGCTCACTTTTATATAGGTATCAATTATTTAGTTCAAATGCGTTAAATAATGAGGAGAGATGCGTTAAAGATGCACGTTCATTTCGTCTGTTTGTTTGTGTCCTTTTTTTCTTTGGTTAAATGTAAGTACCTGGCCCACCTTTTAATTGTCGTGTTTATAAAATTGCGTAATTCAGGTGAACTGCGTTTAAAAATATCGGAATACAAGCATGACGAAGTTGCGCAACCGATAAATTCCACAATCGAGGCGTTAGCAGGTACGAATCTTCATTTAGCTTGTTCGATCGACGGCCCCGGGCGGTTTTCCACGCCGAACCTGCGATGGGGCCGCAAAACGAAGGAGTTGAGATTTCGTAACGAAACCGACTTGGCCGTCTTGGCGGTGCAGCACTACGGGCCGCTGCTAAATTTGAGCGAACATATCGACTATTGGGAGAGCAATAAAGTTATACGTAGCTTTGTGCCCGTTAAAATTACAGATCGCGGCGCTCACTTCTGTATGAGTTACAAGTACATGTTGTTTAAGATCGTGCACCTCAGGGTGAAGGAGGCGTATATGGACACGGGCAAATTTTCGCCGGGATGCACCCCGAACGAATTTCGATGCGCGTCAAGCGGGTTTTGCATCAATTCCCATTATAAGTGCGACGGGAGAATGGATTGCAAGGACGGATCGGACGAAGATTGGAATACTTGCAATGGTAACGCGTGTTGGGGTAAAATCCGATGTGACAATGGGCGCTGCATACCGCACGCCTGGTGCTGTGACCGACATTCCGATGATAACTGTAACGTTACGATTAGGCACGATTGCTGCCCACCGTTGCAAAATCGTAAGTGCTATTGACGTATCTGTGTATCTCGTGTTCATTTAATCTTTTAGCGTATGATCCGATGTTGTGGGATGCAGACAATAGCGTTACTAAAGCTGAACCGACGAGTACTGGGTCCAAGTATCTCTTTATTACAATATGTAAGTGAAGTACTTGTCACTTACTCTTTGGAGAATACATTTTCCCTATGTATCCTTTTGAATGGACCATACCAAAGAATCAGAAAAAACATCTATTGACCAATGCCGCTCACTACGCAGTCCCTGACATACAGGGTGTGCCTAAATATCATGTACCATGTGTGCTATTTTGGTTGAGACTGCAGTGCAATTCAGCAGTTTTTTAAAGATACAGACTAGCAGTTTTGGCAACCCTGTGAAACTTTTAATACCACAAACAGAAACAGAGTGAAAATAAAAAGGTTGACTTTTTTGGTTGTAAGCGAGAAAAAAGGTAAGAACTACCTATTTTATTCAGTGGTGTAGTCAAAAAAATGTTTGGACCAGCGTTTCTGAGATTTGACCCAAAGTTGGTATTTTTGAAATTAAACACTGTATATATTAACGTCAAAGTTTTGCATTCGTTTTCCTGATTACATTGATGTTTCACAATCTATATTTTTTATATAATTATATATTATATCGTATTTTTGAAATGACCGTTTTATTAATGGTATTGGCTGCCTTTGTTACCATGGATACAATAAACAAAACAAAATCCATGGCCTACTATTTAAAAGCCATAAAAATTAAGGGTTAAATTTTTTAGTACATTGTACCGTGTAATCAGGAAAAAGAATTCAAAAAACCGAAAAAAGCTCAAAAATCATCATCCCGTAGATTCTCCCTACCATAGACATGACAAATGCTGTAAGCCTTTCCAAATGTGAGCTATATATGTCTAAAACTGCAGGAGTTATAAAGAAAAAAACTTAAAAATCGTGAAATTATAACACCCTGTAGATCGGTAACGGTGAGATATCACCTTTTAGTCATAAAATAAGCCAAAGAATTAGGCGCGTCTGTATGTACAACCTGTATATTGATACCATACAAAAATGTGAATGCCAATACCCTTAGTTTAGATTTGCGCTGTAAGGGGTCAGCAAAAATAGTTTATCAAGGGGGCAAGATCGACCCCCATGACGAAAATAATTGATTTAGAAGTGAAATAAGTAAAAAGAACTAATTGCGCGAGGTTCTAAGAGGGTATGATCTTCCCCCCCCCTCCTTTTTCCCCCATACAAAAGTAATTTATGGGAAAGCGAAATAATTAAAAAACTATGATCAAACGCAGTTTAAAATTGAGATACTTATTCAGAACTAAGTAATTGCACAAAGGTTTAATGAGGTAGCCCCCCCTCCCCCACTTGATACGACGAAAATAAATTATATCGAAGTGACATAAGTAAAAAAAACTTACAAAAGATCAGCGTAAGGTTCTACCACCCCGCACCCCTCCCCCTCCGCAATGACAAAAATAACATCGCAGAAGAGTAAGAGAGAATGGTGCTTTTGCAATTTTTGAAAAATCTTTGAAAAAACTGAGATTTCACCGAAATACTGAAAATGTCAAATTTTGTTTACTTTTCCCCTAGTTGAAACGGTCGGAAATGGACGGTTCCCATTGACACCTTTACGGGCACTTTTTTTCGGAGAATCTGAATCTGTTATCACAGTATCAGTACTTTCTTATAGACGCCATATTGGATTTTTACGAATTCTTTTGATTTTAAACTGTGAATGTTCAATTGTTTTCTTCAAATTTTTTTAATTTTCGGATTTTTTAAATTTTGAATGTTCATGTACACCTGAGCGTTACATTATTGTGTGCAAATTTTCAGATTTGTTATAAATTTTCAACTCGTTTCTTCGAATTTTTGTATCTTTAATTTTTATAATATATCAAATTTGAAAAATTCTGTATATTTTGGAAGGTTTTTTACAACGTCATTAAGATTTTCTGAATTTTTTTATTCTATTAATTTTCAATTTTTTTTTTCGAATTTTTGCATGTTTAATTTTTATAATTTCTCGAATTTTAGAACCTTTTTAAATTTTTTGGAAAGGTGTGAATTGTGTGAATTTAGAATTTTTTTCATTTGGAATGCATTATCTCTTTTTCGCTTTTGAAATCTTTGAAAAATACTGAAAATGTCGAATTTCGATTTCATTTTTTTATAGAATCTGAATGTGTTTTCAGAATGTCCATAGCACGCTCGATATAGAAGCTACAAGCTACTACTTTCTTGTGGACACCATATTGGATTGATACGATTTTTTAAAATTTTAAACTATGTACTGTTTTCGCCTCGGAGAATGTTTGTTTTCCTCCAATTTTTTTAATTTTCGGATTTTTTAATTTTTCAAATTTTGAATTTTTGTGTTTTTTTTTACTTTTTTTTAATTTTCTGGATTTTTTGATATTTTCCAAGTTCGTTGGATTTTGATTAATTTCCAATTCGTTTCTTCGAATTTTTGCATGTTTCATTTTTATGATTTCTCACATTTTATTTTTCAGAATTTTTTTAATTTTGTGAATTCAGAGTTTTATCATTTTTTTCGAGTCCGAATTTCTTGTTTTCGAGTTTTTCCGAATTTTTTTATTTTGTTATTGTTTTCGCCCTTGAGAATGGTCAATTGTTTTCTTGGAATTTGTGATTTTTTTACTGTAACTTCTGAATTTCCTGGAATGTTTAGTTTTTAAAATTTTCAATTTTTTTCTACACCTAAACATTGTCATACTCTCGTGCAGATTTTCCGAATTTTCGCCTCGGACAATGTTCAGTTGGTTTTTTCGGTTTTTTGAATCTTGGGATTTCTACTTTTTCTGATTTTTTTTCAAAATTGAATTTTCCGGAATTTTTTTGTTTTTTTCAAATTTTCAATGTTTGTGTACACCTTATTTTATCGTACTTTCCTCATTAGCATTACATTTTTGTGTACACTTTCATACAGATTTTCCGAGTTTTTCAAATTTTTATTATGTATTTCGTTTCTTGGAATTTTTGCTTATTTAATGACATTTTTGTATTTTTCGGGATACTTTTAATTTTTGTTGTTTTTTCATTTTCTGAATTTCTTGTTTTTGAATTGTTACGACTTTTTTTGATTCTAAACTTTTGTGCATTAACTGTTTTCGCTTCGGAGAATGTTCATTTATTTTGTCGAATTTTTTCCTTTTTCTAATTAATTTCTGATGTTTCTGGAATGTTCGGATTTTTCAAACTCAATTTTTGTGCAGATTGCCGAGTTTTTTGAATGATGATTATTACTTTTCAATTCTTTGCTTCGAATTTTTGCATGTTTCACTTTTATAATTTCTCAAATTTTACAATTTCTTGTATTTTTCATAATGTTTTTTGTTTTTGAATTTTTCTGAATTTTTTTTATTTTAAACTTGTGTAGTTTTCATCTCAGAAAATGTTCAATAGTTTCCTTTGAATTTTTTTATTTTTCGGATTTTTTAAATTTTGCATTTTTGTATACACTTTCATACAGATTTCCCGAATTTTTTGCATTTTAGAAATTTTTTATATTCTGGAATATTTTTCAAGTTTTGAATACAGAATTTTCCATTTTTTAGAGTCCGAATTTCTTGTATTCGACTTCTTTCGAACTTGGTTTAATTTTAAACCATTGTGTATTAACTGCTTTCACCTCGGAACATCTTCATTTGTTTTCTTCGAATTTTTTGAATTTTCGGAGTTTATTACTTTTTGTGATTTTGTTCATAGCTTTTTAATTTTTCGGATTATGTTTCAAATTTTGAATTTTTGTGTGCACCTTACTTTTTCCGAATATTTTGAATTGCATGTTTAATTTTTATAATAGCACTTTTGGGACACACTGTATAAGGAAAAATTTCCAAATTACAAAAATGGCAATATTTCAAAAAAACAAAGAAACATTCCTCTATTTACAAGGATGGTCAATCCTTTTCTATACCTTTATACCTTTAGTAGTTCTTGGTTTTCCCACGTCCATTTCATTACAAGGTAATATTGGAACTAATACTAAAACCAATATTTTCAGGTGTGGTAAGTGCCCTTCTATCCTTCGTCTTATTCCTGTTCGTCATATCAAAAGTATGCGGATTCGACGCCTTGCCGATTCAAAGACCGACGAATCAGCCGTCTCCACCGTCCATCTGTGATCACTCCGAATGCGTACTTAGAAGACAATTTAGTGCCGACAACGCGTGCCTTTATCGCCAAGACGCGAACGTGATCAATACCGATCACAGCACCGACCTCGGCGATCCGCTGATTATAATGAGCACGGAACGTATTTCCGATCAGCCGCCGTCCTACTCCGAGGTTATCAATACGCCGCCGAGCATCGACAAGTCTACATTAGATTTGCTGAGCGCGCCTCCGCCGCCGTATTCGAGTATGCGGTTCGAACGAACGAGTCAAAGCCAAAGCTGTGATACATCCGATGATACAAATCATCATCATATCTCTACTTAACAATCCTAGTATTGCAAGATCTGACAGTACTACCTACTAGCTTAAGTATATAACGCTTAATAGTATTATTCTTGTTTATTGTATTGTATATATTTTATATAAATGAAAAAAAAAATAGTTTCATATCTCATATTGTTACTGCAGGTTCAGTGCAGTTTTTTATCTTTCGTAAATAGACAACTCTTATTTAGTTGTGATCACTCGTGTTCAGAGATTTTTTTAGGTTGGTAGTATCCGGTAGTCCAGGACCATTGTACCTTTTTTAAATTTTAATCCCATGCCAGTGCATGTGGGAGTAGTCGGATGGGGTAATATTCACAAAACTGAGAAATTAGATTAGTTCATACATGGATTGCGTCTTTTTAGAAAAACATGATGTAAAAACCATCTTGTTTGGATATATGATGACTTGATACTCGTAGATGGGATGGATTTGGTTGGACAAATATATAAAAACTAGGGTAACTCCTTTAAAATAAGGTTGGTTGGTCGGTGGAATACCTTGAAAAAGAAAATGGACCGAAGTCTGCTCGAGATATTTGATTCAAACAAGTACCGTTAGCGTATATAGAAACACCGTTGAAATGACAAGCACCATCGGCGTATATAGAGACACCGCTGGAAAGCATCTTTTTACACTGAAACAATCCGGTTAATGTTCAATAATGAATAATTTTGATGTCAGCAATTTAAAAGATGGCTGTTACCAGCGCTAAATTTCAGCCGATTGAACGTCTATTCAAGAGGAAATTAGTTTTGCCGAAAAAATGGCGGTCTCTGTTAAAGTGCTTCTGCAGAGGCATCTCTAAAAAGCATTGTGTGGGTCACTCTGTAATCGGGGGTAAGCCTGTTGAGGGCCCAGAACAAGAGAGGGATAATAAATAAACGCATTTAGATCGATTAGCGACTTCAATCCTTTGTGTACGAGTCTGCCCTTTTTGAATGTTTAACCTTTTCGCCCGTGCAGAGGTAGATGCCAAAGTGATAAAGATACTGAGATGTTCTACCCTGTATATACAACTTACGACGATACATACATTTGTGAGAGTTGGCAACCATGCAATTTCTAGGTGGGAAAAAGCTGCCTGCGCCATCTAGAAAGCACGAGCGGGGGTTACTTACGTTTGGCACATATATATAAGTATATATATGGTTTGGCATCATGTCCTGAATGGCGGTCGTGAACGCGTCGCTCCATAAATGTTTGTTGTTATTTTGTGTTATTTAATGCAGGTAGTAATTTTTGCATTTCTTTTTATCGTATTTGTGTTTTATATGCCGCATTTTATATTTGCGTGTTTGAATATTCAAATTTACTTGGTTTAACCGCAATGCATAGTTACATATGTGATACCGTTATGCTATTGTTTGTAATTGTTTGCGTTTTTGGTGTAATGCTTGCTTAATTTATGTTTATTGATGTTGATTACTTGGTCTTGTCCCTGAAGTAACATTCATATAAGTTTTGATCATTTTAATTTAATATGTGGAAATTACCGATTCGTTCGATGTGTGTACTGACTTGTTGTTTGTAGGTAACATTTTCTCCGTGAATAAAGCAGTCACGGGGTGGTAAAAACTGTAGCCAGAATTGAGCTACGACACCTAATTCCATGATTCTCTTCGACTTTCAATTGTAGGCTCGAAACCCCGAACGAGGGGCGACGCTACCTATCTTGCGGGGGCGAGATTACGCTAATCAATGCTCTTCAGTTTAGAATCTATGTGCGATAAATGAGTGGCGATTCAATAATTTCCACATATCTTGTTTCTAGTTAACTATGCCTACAAGGCCCTGTAATTTTCCATCTTGCCTTTAACAAAAGGACTTTAAGAGATGAGTCACATCCTGTCCATTTTATTGGGGGTATCCCATACTACCATCGATGGTGCATCCGCCCACAATGCCCTAATCGTGCAAGCAAATTTGTCCGATAGATATTCTCACGTTGCAATAATTATTTTCGCATAAAAATTGCCCCCCTCAATATAAAATCAACAGATTTTTGTCGAAACATTTATTTCAAGCTTTAGGGGACTACAAATTTTTGTTGTTCTTATCTATTGTTAAAATTCAGCAGCAACGATCCTCCCAACAGTTAAATCTTCCCTTAAATTTATAAGACGTCACTTAGTAGCGAGCCCTTGGACATTGATAATCAAATACCAGTTTGTGAAACTGTTGAGACGATGTATTTTTTCAAGATGTCGTTTCAAATTGTGCTTAATGTGCGTTGCGTACTCACAAAAGCCGCATTTAAAGTCTCTAACTCGATCTTTAAAATGCTGGTGTGTTAATAGATGCTGTTTCAAAGTGTCTTTCCGTCTTGCGGCATAATCGCAAATTCCGCATTTAAAATCTTTAGAAGCTTTGTGAGATGAGACGTGCTGTTTAAATTTCGAGATGAAATTTGTTGCATAATCACAACAGTCACATTTAAATTGCATAGAGACTTTGTGCGTAAAGACATGTTGTCGTAGGCTCTTTTTCAGTTTTGTGGTATAATCACAACTGTAACATTGGAAATCGGTGTGTGTTGCAAGATGTTGATTCAAATCAGGTTTATGATTTGTGGCATAATTACAAGTGTAACATTTAAAATGTTTTTCAGAAGCGTTGTGTTTTAAAAGATGTCGTTTCAAATAGTATTTATGGACTGTGGCATAATTACAAATGTCACATTTATAATCTTTATGAACATTGTGCCTTAAGAGATGTTTTTTCAAGGCGTCTTTTCGTCTCGCGGCATAATCACAAATTTCACATTTAAAATCTTTAGAAGCTTTGTGTGATACCATATGTGCCGTCAAAGTGTATTTAGAGTTTGTGGCAAAATTACAAATGTCGCATACAAAGTCTTTGTGGTGCTTTTGAAAATTTGTGCAACCATCACTTTGTTGCTGCAGTACTTCTTGAGTATTGTACTCATCACTACAATCCTCTGCAATGTGTTCCACTTTGACTGGTAAAACATCATTTTTTACATAAATTTGTTGTTCAAGAGACAAACTTGTTTCTTCTTCCTGTTTTGGTTCAATTTTAACTAGTGTCAGTGTGATGCACTCGTCCATGGTACCTATACTTAACCATTTTTCAATCTTATGACTACAACCATGGGACTTACCTCAAATGAACGCACTGCAATATGTTTTATAATTGTCAGGCGTTCCAAATAACGTGGAAATAAACTGTTTATATTTTTATATGTTCGAGGCCGCGAACCTAACCTAAAAACAGATTGTCAGTTGTCACCGTTTGGGAACCGTTAAGGTAACTTTACACTTTTTTACCGCTCCTGCATAAATTAATGGCACTGTTACACCTAACATAGTAAGTGTAATGTGACTGAAAATCTAATTATGTACTGCGGGTGAGTTTGGGACTGTACCTTTTTGATTCATCTGAGGGGTTCTACCCTGAAATTCAATGCCTGTATATGCAACGTTTGTTAATCTTCATGTTTTAACCGCCTTTCTGTGTGAGTGCCAGTAGTTGGAAACGGAACCGGTACCGAAACCAAAACCGATTGCATTTATAACGGTTTTCGATTTTAGACCTTTCACGAATAAAATCTAAAGTTTCAAAACCACATATGCTTCAAATTTAATGTTATACAGGCTTCGACTTTACTAACTCCTTGGATTTTAGGCTTCAAATTTCAGCCAAGGTTTTAGGATGCAGGTTTCAGGTTCTCAAGTAATGGACTCAAGCTTTCAGTTTTAGGATTTAGGTTTCAGGCTTTAGTTTACGGAGTTCAGGTTTCACGTCTCAAGTTTAAAGCTGCATTCACAACCTCCAATTAATGTTTATAATTAATGAGTGAAATTATTTCGTTAACTTTACGCAAAGCAATCATTCGCAATGCCTGAAATTAATACGTGAAATTCATGTTTTGCAGTGTCGCCACCTATGTACCGGCGAGGCAATTGGTTAATTGTTTATACAACTACTTTCAACATAACCTTGTAGCGCAAGCACAAGAATCAGTGTTTGTGTTAATAAGTGTCTTTTAATTATAACTAGCCTTATGCTAAAGTGGCAAGATACTTTTTCCTGTTCGCCACATTCATTGTATATGTAAACAAAATCAAAACAAACAAAACAGGGTTATGTCGGCTGTCATATAAAAGCACGCAGCGTAGGGTTGCCAGATCTGATAATGACTAAGGTAAGTTCATAGCTCTCCGTTCATACGTTTCCGTTTGTCCGTTAGCCAATCAGAAGACAGCAAATTTTTAAATCGTACGTCGTCCGTTTACGACGGAAAAGTTGGTTCAAGTTGAACATTTACGTTTCCGTTGGTCCGTTTGTAACAAGAGTGAGGTTATGTTTGGTACGTTAACAGTGTTCGCCTATTCGTTCTTCACGGTAATAATCAGATAGCAACGTGTTCATACTTTCGTACCATTTTTACATACTGAAAATCACGGAGGGTACCGTACAAAATAAAATTTAGGTTATGGTTATACGTTGCAAATGTACAATGTGGACGGATTGCTATGAACCTTAACAAAATGTATTATCCGTTTGACGGACCAACGCAACGGATGAACGGAGAGCTATGAACCCACCTTTAAGGTGGGTTCATAGCTCTCCGTTCATCTTCCAGGCTCTACGCTAACTTCACACTACAAGAACACGAAAATAAAGTCAACCCGGCAATGTTTAAAAATGGCCACTCGAATGACTATTTCCTCCAAAACTAAACAAGATCTAGCTTACATTTGAAAAGTGGCACGTGATCAAACATCTAAGGCAGGGCCCCCTTACGTTAGTTGTAGACAACGCTTTGGCCTGAAGCACTAGGGAAGGAACGTAAAATAAGACACTCAAATTGTGAAAAGTTTGTTTAATAATGATTATTAAGATTGTGAAAGCTCGGAAATTTAAGTCGAAATTTATTACATTGCAAAAATAAACTTTTGAAAATGGTAGTTCACCGAATCAAAATAGAAATAGGCTGGGAAAAAAGAACTTACCAATAAAAAAACCAGCAGTCAAATTAATATATTAGATTGTATAGTAAAATCAATTGTTTGTAATGATGTGAATGCGTAACATAAAATTATGACATCACAAAAAGTAGCAGGTAAACTTCAAGAGGTAACAAATAGGTTAAAAACAAGTTTTGGGAAGTATGGGTCAGGTAAGCATCAGGTACCAAGATTCTAAGAAAGGGTGAAATACACAGGATGTGACTCATCTTTGGTGCAATAAAGGCCTTTTGTTAAAAGCAAGATGGAAAATTACATGGCCTTGTAGCCAAATTTAACTAAAAACAGGATATGTGGAAATTATTGAATCGCCACTCATTTATCGCACATAGATTCTAAACGGAAGAGCTTTGATTAGCGTAATCCCGCTCCTGCAAGATGGGTAACCCGCCCCTGGTTTCGAGCCTACAGTTGGATGTCGAAGACAATCACGGAATTATAGGTGTCGGACTTCAAATGGTTACAGTTTTTACCACCCCCGTGACTGCTTCATTCACGGAGAAAATTGTTAGTAACAAACAAGTCAGTACATACATCAAACGAATTGGTAATTTCCACATATTAAAATAAAATGAAAACTTATATGAATGTTACTTCAGGGACAAGACAATAAACGTAAATTAAGCAAGCATTACACCAAAAACGTAAACAATTACAAACAATAGCATAACGGTATCACATATGTGATTATGCATTGCGGTTAAACCAAGTAAATTTCAAAAACAAAGATTGAAACACACAAAAATATAAAATGCGGCATATAAAACACAAATACGATATAAAGAAATGCAAAAATTACTACCTGCATTAAATAACACAAAATAACAACAAACATTTATGGAGCGACGCGTACACGACAGTCATTCAAGACAAGATGCCAAACGTAACTCCCGTTCGTACTTTTTAGATTGCGCAGGCAGCTTTTTCCCAACTAGAAATTGCATGGTTGCCAACTCTCCAAAATGTATGTATCATCGTAGGTTGTATATACAGGGTGGAACCTTTCAGGTTTCAGAATGACGATTTCTCGTTTCTCGTTACATCACAGGCTTCAAATTGAAGGTGGGTTTTAGGCTACAGTTTTCAGTCTTTTGGCTTCTTGTTCAGACCTAAGGTTTCAATCCTCAGGTTTCGGTCTCCATGATTCAAAAATTGTGCAAATTTGTTTATTATCACATTTTTTTACAGCTGACTTACACGCAACTATCAATTGATTTATATAAAATAATTCACCAATAATACTAACATATACAGTGCAGCGCGATAATAAGAGCAGCAGTAATAAACGAACGATTATAACGATAAATATAACTATATGTTGTAATATTTACAAAACTTACAAATCGTCTCTAGGTTAGGTATAGTCGCAGCATTTTGAGGTGCACGGTAAATGAAGGCAAATTTGTTGTTCTCGGTACGCTTAAAATTATGGAGATCTAAAATGCGAAAACCTTTTGAGCATAACCGCAATTGATATGTACAATGCTGTTTGCCGGAGTAAACGATTTGCACATCGTGTATTGTCATAATTAGAAAGGAAATGAAGCGTTGAGGAAAACGATTGTTCTATTTAAGTTACATTATACAAACATGGCCGGCAATTGTTTAATGTAGAAAAGTTCTAACTTACTATATACAATTATTTTTTAAAAACGGAACTCCTTCATAACATTCTGAGCACAACCACCAACTTGGTGTTCGATAATAATTTAGATAGCTCACTTTAAAAACAGAAACGTCAACATGCTCTTCGAAAATGTCACAAAAGCAGCTTTCTGTACATACTTGTGATTATAATTATATACAAATTTATTACCTACAAAATACTGTCACACACCATTAAGAGAATACTGTAAATCGTTTGGAACACGTCAACATAATAACAACATAACCGCATTTACAAGCTTTCCAACGAAAATTCAATGAAAAAATATTATGCTATGGAATTTCCAGACATTGTCGTTACGCAAGTCTTCTCGCAAGAATCCGTATTCTCAGAACTCGATCGGACCGCCTTGACACCGGCGCCCGTCGACTGATCGATCCCCTCCGTATTGTTATTGGTCGACGCCCTCCGTCCGATCTCTCGCACGACCGTCCGCACGTCGAACACGCTACACTCGCTCTCTTGATCGCTTCCTTCCAACTGCAAAACATTTAGCTAAAAAAGCTTAATAGTAAATAAACGTAGCTCTATTTACTGCGATGGATTTTCACCTGTCGCGGATTCGAGTAGAGCTCGCTCGAGTCCGATCCGCAGCTCGAACTTTCGCTCAGCTCCGACGTGAACTTTCGTTGCGCCCTCGGACTCGGCGGCGCCCTCCTACTGCACACCTGCGCCTGGATGTGCTCGCAGACGCGACGAAACCTCCTTATGTTACCTTGAATTAATTTCGATTAAGTTCGCCATTCTTGGAGCAAAGTGCAGTAGAACCCCGATTAAGTTCCTTTTGTCCGTTAGCCAATCAAAAGACAGTAAATTTGTAAAACGTTGATTTGGTCCGTTTTTAACAAGAGTGAGGTTATGTTTGTCACAGTGAAACACCTGTTTTCCAGCATGAAATTACCCATTTTAGTGATCACTCTGTAGATGAACACCCGGTATCAAGAAACGTTTTAAATTGGGCGCTTTGTTACGCTCCGAAAATATTTATTTCTGCGTAGAAGTTGGAAATAGAAGATAGAAATTAGGATCATAAGAGGCCGTATGTAATTTGCCACCACCGCTTGCTACAGCGTCTGGACCAGACCACCGCCACCACTTTGCAGCCGCTCACTGTATGTGTATAGTGTGAATTTTATGTTCCCGTAGATATAGTTTTGTTGCTTTCAATCCCGTTACAAGGGCTGAATTCTGTGAGCGGTCCGTGCGTTCTCGACACCTCTACACGCTATTCGACTCGTTTCTGCCAAAATGCTTCCCTGGTCATAAGCAGAGAACAGCCTCTTAACAATTTAACGTAAAGACAAGCACATGTTCATTTACTTCAGATTTTTTCCATTGTAACTATTGTAAGAACATTTCACATCAACATCTTGAATTTTGATGTTTTTGTTTGGCAACGTTATCTATTTTTTATTAGTTAGGATGCAGTCATACAGTGACATGGCCACAAATATATTTTTTTCTATTCAAACTTTTCTGTAAGCGGTCCGTGCGTTTTCGACTCGTATAATTTCTGCCAAAAGCGCTTCCCTGGTCATAAGCAGAGAACAGCCTCTTAACAATTTAACGTAAAGACAAGCACATGTTCATTTACTTCAGAGATTTTTCCATTGTAACTATTGTAAGAACATTTTACATCGACATCTTGAATTTTGATGTTTTTTTATTAGTTAGGATGCAGTGATGGAGTGACAGGGCCACAAATATATTTTTTTCTATTCCAACTTTTCTGTGAGCGGTCCGTGCGTTTTTGAATCGTATAATTTCTGCCAAAGCGCTTCACTAGTCGTAAGCAGAGAACGTCCGCTTAAGAATTTAACGTAAAAACAAGCACATGTTCATTTACTTAAGAAATTTTTTTCCATTGTAACTATTGTAAGAACATTTCACATCGACATCTTGAATTTTGATGTTTTTGTTTGGTAACGTTATCTATTTCTTATTAGTTAGGATGCAGTCATACAGTGAGAGGGCCACAAATATATTTTTTTCTATTCCAACTTTTCTGTGAGCGGTCCGTGCGTTTTTTCGATTTTTTCCATTGTAAATATTGTAAGAACATTTCAAGTTGGCGCGTGAGATAGGAAGAGCACAATAAAAATTGGTTTCTTAATTTCTCAACTAGACAAGGGAAGGTTCAACTAAACCAGACTTAAATGGGGTTCTACTCCGCACACTTTTCAACTTTGATACCTGATAGAAGAGTGAACGTAATCGCGTACAAAGACTCCTTCGAGTTGTCATTCGTCTGCTGCTTCGGTATCGCAGCGATATCGACCTGAAAGCGTACTTGGCGTTGAAACATTGCGGGCGCAGTCGAGCCGCGTTTGTACTCAACCCTAAACGACATCGGACTAGATACTGAGTGACTAAGCTCGGCTATCTGCAACGATTTGCGTATAAGAAACATAGTAAGACGCCATTTTGCACGTACCGATAAAAAAGCGTGTATCAAATCGGCCTTGATCGACGCCAACGGTTTTCCCTTCACCAGAATCGTGAACGTCTCGTCCTTTTCGGTCGTCATCAAGCTGCCGAACCACGATTTCTTGGTTAGTTCCGGCGATGACTCGGGCGTAAGGTGAACCTCCTCGGACGAGGCTGAAAGCGCTGCGGTTTAGCGGCAAAACCGCGAACTTGGCACTAACCTTGCATCTTCCGCCGGTGAAAGCGCGGCGAGCCTAAGAAACTATTTTTGATCGTGTTTAGTCGGGATCGCCAGTGATGACTGGCGGCCGCTTGATAGTGAGGCGATCCGGGCGGCGTCATTGGCGTTAGAATTCCGGAACCGGGAACTAGGCTGGTGGTATCTGTTTCGGGTGACATGAGCGTCGATAGCATCGATGAGGCGGTCGGACCACCGCTGCTGTTCGCTCGGTGGTGCGTCGGAGTGGGCGAAGGTTGCGATGTGCTTAGAACTGAGTTTGTCGGCGCCGAACGGTGAGTGGAAGCGCGTGGACTCACCGGCGATGACATCGTCACTGTAACACAATTTTTTTAAATAAAATGCCCACATCTAGTACACTAAAAATTCGTGATGAAACTTTAAATCTTAAGCGACGGCAAATTAATTTTGGTGTTTCGCACTAAATAAAATATTCTACGCGTGCACTACGTGTTAAAAACCACCCATAAGTTGAGGAACTTCCTGCAAAATGCTATTATCAACAAAGTCGCACCTTGACATGAGGAAACCTGAAGCCATATAAATCTAGTAAGGCAAATTCATCTAAGTTTTGGAACTGTTTCCGATCGATTGAGCTAGTCGGTGGAACCCATATTTTGATACATTTTAAAGTTATGAGTAAAGGTCAGTTTTGATATTTCAAATAATGATAGCTCCGGTACAATTCGGCATTAAGAGGAACAATATTTGAGACCGCAAAAAACCATGCATAGACGTCGAACTCCCCCTCGCCTGTTATCAGTGTTACAATTGTCAAATTTTGAGTCATTGGACATACAATTGCAAGTTCTGTCATCTAATTCAACAAGCCAGTTTTTTGCCGAAGTTCCTGAAGCTGTCAGCGTGTCTTGTGTCAGTTCTAAGTGCGTCTGAATATTTTTACTATCAGACTGTAAGTAATAAAGATTTCTTTATTTAATTGTCTGTCGAACGTCTGCGTGCGTGGTATGTTCCTGGAACTTGTATGTGCTTACTTAATTTGTCATGTGGACTTACCGAAGTTCATTTGACACATAAAAACACTGTTGACATCACACCAATTTTTGAAAATACAACTCACCATCAGTTGCACCCTGCATACTTAGTGTATATGGATTACTTACTGTGTGCATTTGTCGGCGTGCTGTTAAACATGATCGGACTCGACGCTCCCGAAGATCTCGTAGGCGAATGGATATTAAGCGAACCGTGAGTGCTGCCCGTCGACGGACTACGCCTACTATGATGTCGTCTACGTAAATACCACGTAACTCAAAATGTACACGTCACTACTACTTACTTAAAGTGCGATCGTCGCGGAGTGATCGGCGAGCCCTCGCTGATTTGACCGAACTGCAGGGTGCTCTGCCCGTTTACGCGGCACGTATCTATCCGCTTTCGCGGCGGATCGGTCGTTTCGACGGTACGCACCCGCAGCATCGTGTCGGTTTCGTCTTCGAAAGCCGGACGCCTTCGTTTTCGCTCGAGCAGCAGGAAGTAGATGACCTTCTCCGTGTTGTGACTGAAACAAGAGTTTAGCGATTGTGCTGCCACCTTACGGCTTACGACGTACTTGGGGCTGAGGAGGTGCTGGATCAGCTTCTCTTTCTCCTTGAAACAACCTAAACTGCAAATTGCTTGTAGAACGTCTGGGTCGACGGAATCAATTGATGGTAGCACGTGCGTTTGCACTACTTCCATCATGGGCAGTTCGAGTTCCAGTTCTCCCTTGCCACCGGCGGTCACCCACTGATGCTTGTTAATCTCCGTTAACTGCAAGCGAGGCGAATTAGCTTAGAGCAGGTGTCCCATATGTTTGAGAAGAGAATTTTTTCATTAAAATATACAGGGTGTTCCATTAAAAAATATGGTAACATCCGTAACTTTCTTACTCGACCCCGTATACATATTTTGAAATCCGCAGATGATTCAACAATCATTATACAGAAACTTTTGTATAAAACATGTTTCTGTATCTCTAGGAAAATATAGGGTCATTCAGGTTGATAAGATTTTCCCCCGTATATTTTAATTTTGATTTCGCCATTTTAAGTTTAATAGAGCACATGGTGCCTATATAACTTTTTTGATAGCACTAAAAATTATGGAAATAACCTATAAAAGTGTCAAACATGGGACACCCTGTACATTCGATTATTAATTTCAGTCAATATTAGGATTTTCCTTTGTAGCAAATGCAGGAAGTGTACGAGGAAAATTTCTAAAAATTCTAAGCTTCAATTTTAATTTATTTTGACCTAGGTGTTTTGTGGGTGGCGTAGTAACCGCATTACAGTCCACATTATTATTTATTTGGTGCCCAACGTGGGGCCACAGCATTATTTATTTGGCGCCCAACGTGGGGTCATTAATATTTATATTTTTTCATGCGACATGATAATTATTATGTGTTGCAAATACATTCTTTCGTTCTTTTGGGTCTTCCCCCCTCCCTCCACTCAAAAACTGAAAATTGTTTAATGGAGGGGGGATGGTAAATTCAATTAATTGGTTTATTATTTTCGCATCCGGTCCTCGAAATTAATTAATTGAGGTTGTCGATGTGCAAATTTTAGAAATAGAGAGAATCAACAACCAATATTGAGAGGCGTTTTTTTTATTCAACAAGGGAATTTCGTCGTGAATGTTTCGTAAGCAAACAAATTCATTTTGTAGTATTATTGGATTAGCGCGCTCTCATTGAAATAAATTGTTACCACAAAAGCGTTGGGGTCCAAGGTGCAAAACATTTCGTTGCGGTACATTTGGAGGGGCTAGTTACGTTAAAAAATCAGTTTATCAATCAAAATTGTGCACCGCTTTTGTATATACGGGGTGTTATTAGATCTACATTAAACGGCAACCGGTAAAAAGTCAAAATACAATTAAAAGCGGTAAAAATAAAAAAAATCACTGTAACAACAAAAAGAAAAAGACAAGAGGAAGGCATAAAGAGTATCAAGAAACTGCAGGAATCTTATTAAATAAAAATGTAACCAGAGAAAGATGGGAAAAGAAAAAAAGAAAACAGGAGGAAAGCGCAAGCAATATGGTTACTGGAGAGAACTACCGAGGCATGATTACCGACTTTTTGTGGCCAGAAATTGGGAGCATGAGCAGATACGACTTTCGGTTTCAACAAGACGGAGCCACATACCACACAGCTAAACAAACGATCGATTTTTGCACACCAAATTTGGTAATCATGCTATCAGCCGTCGTGGCGGTGTCAATTGACCGTCTCGAAGCTGCGACTTAACGCCGTTGGACTTCTTTTTGTGGGGCACCGTATAAGATGATATGTGGACAACCCACAAAGAACTCGGGCCCTTAAGTTGAATATTAAACGAGCCATTCGTCGTCTCGTCGAATACAGCACCATTCAGTCAAAAACGTCTTGAAAAATTGGGTCGATTGAATTCGCCACTGTGAAGCTAGCCCAGGGTGCCATAATAATTGAAAAAAATGGATTTCTCTTCATTTTACTGCATTATAAAAAACGTCTATTTGGCCCAAAACTTTTATACGGAATCCCCCCCCCCCCCCACTCGACGGTGCTACGCTGTCTCCTATACAAAACGTTTAGCCCTCAAGGCTCTCATAATTGTTTTTGGGAAGATGATCTCTGCATAAAATGATTGCACAAAACGTAGCACGGGGGGGGGGGGGTCTGGATTACCCCTCCAGCAAGAAAAATTCAATGATCGTTTAACAAAAACACACAAACGTCCTAGCAAAGGAAGACTTGATCATTTCCATATAATAAATACTGGGAGATATTTTGTACTCCCACACCCCCCGTCCCCCACAAATCGTTTAGCCTTCAACGCTTGCATAATAGTTTTTGGGAAGATCATTCCAAAAAATTATCGCACAAAACGTAGCACCGGGGGGCCTGGAGTATCCCCCCCCCCCAGCAAGAAAAATTCAATGATCGTTTTAAAAAAAACAAACGTCCTAGTAAAGGAAGATTTGATCATTTCAATATAATAAATTGGGGGATATTTTGTACCCCCCAGATCTCCGGTGCTACGCTCTCCCCTGAACGCTTTCATTATAGCTTGTGGGAAGATGATCACAGACTGTTCTACAAAAAAGTATTGCACAAAACGTAGCACCGGGGGGTCTGCACCCAGCAAAAGAAGATTAAATGATCATTTAAAATAAGTATTGTGCAAAACGTGATACAGGGAGGGGGGTCTTGAGTACCCCCCCCCCGGCCCCCACCAAGAAAAATTCAATGATCGTTTCCAAAAAAAACGCAAACGTCCTAGCAAAGGAAGTTGATCATTTCCATATACATAATAAATGCTGGGGGATATTTTGTACCCCCCAGACCGCCGGTGCTATGCTGTCCCCCACAAAACGTTTAGCCCTCAAGGCTTGCATGAATAGTTTCTCTCCAAAAAATAAATTGCACAAAACGTAGCACCGGGGGGTCAGGGGGTATGGAATACCCCCCAGCAAAAGAAGATTCAATGATCGTTTCTAAACAAAAAGCACAAAGAACGAAAAGTAATTGCACAGAACGTAGCACCGGGGGGTCGGGGGGGTATGGAATACCCCCCAGAAAAAGAAGATTCAATGATCACTTAAAAAAAGGATTGCGCAACATGTGCTACAGGGGGGTCTGGAGTACCCCCCAGCAAGAAAAATTTAATGATTATTTGCAAAAAAAAAAAAAAAACGTCCTAGCAAAGGAAGACTTGATCATTTCCGTATAATAATTACAGGGGGATATGTTGGACCCCCCAGTGCTACGCTGTCCCCCACAAAACGGTTAGCCCTCAAGGCTTGCGCAATAGTTTTTGGGAAGATGATCTCTCCAAAAAAGTAATTGCACAAAACGTAGCACCGGGGGGTCTGGGGGGTATCGAATACCCCCCAGCAAAAGAAAATTCAATGATCGTTTCTAAACAAAAAGCACAAAGAACGAAAAGTAATTGCACACAACGTAGCACCGGGGAGTCTGGGGGGTATGGAATACACCCCAGCAAAAAAAGATTCAATGATCGTTTCTAAACATAAAGCACAAACGTCCTAGCAAAGGAAGACTTGATCATTTCCATATAATAAATACTGGGGGATATGTTGTACCCCCCAGACCCCCCTGGTGCTACGCTGTCCCCCACAAAACGTTTAGCCCTCAAGGCTTGCGTAATAGTTTTTGGGAAGATGATTTCTCCAAAAAAGTAATTGCACAAAACGTAGCACGGGGGGGTATGGAATATCCCCCAGCAAAAGAAGATTCAATGATCGTTTCTAAACAAAAAGCACAAAGAACGAAAAGTAATTGCACAGAACGTAGCACCGGGGGGTCGGGGGGGTATGGAATACCCCCCAGAAAAAGAAGATTCAATGATCACTTAAAAAAAGGATTGCGCAACATGTGATACAGGGGGGTCTGGAGTACCCCCCAGCAAAAGAAGATTCAATGATCATTTAAAAAAAAGTATTGCGCAACATGTGCTACAGGGGGGTCTGGAGTACCCCCCAGCAAGAAAAATTTAATGATCATTTGCAAAAAAAAACAAAAACGTCCTAGCAAAGGAAGACTTGATCATTTCCGTATAATAATTACAGGGGGATATGTTGGACTCCCCAGTGCTACGCTGTCCCCCACAAAACGGTTAGCCCTCAAGGCTTGCATAATAGTTTTTGGGAAGATGAGTTCTCCAAAAAAGTAATTGTACAAAACGTCGCATCGGGGGGTCTGGGGGGTATGGAATACCTCCCAGCAAAAGAAGATTGAATGATTGTTTCTAAACAAAAAGCGCAAAGTCCTAGCAAGGGAAGACTTGATCATTTCCATATAATAAATACTGGGAGATATTTTGTACCTATCAGACCCCCCCCCCGGCCGCCGGTGCTACGCTGTAACCCCACAAAACGTTTAGCCTGAAGGCTTTTATAATGGCTTTTGAGAATATGATCAGGTTCTGTTCCACAAAAAAAGGAAGATGATCTCTCCAAAAAAGTAATTGCACAAAACGTAGCACCGGGGGGTCTGGGGGGTATGGAATACCCCCCAGCAAAAGAAGATTCAATGATCGTTTACAAAAAAAATACACAAACATGATCATTTCATAGTATACGTAACTAATACAAATTTCCACATGAAATTATTGTTTTAAACAATCGTACGATCTGTTGTTTGCCATGGAAACCTAGATGTCTGCAATAACAACATGTTAATGTATAAAATGCAATATTATAAATAATATTTAATATAAACATCGCAAGTGATACAATCAAAATTTAGAAGATTTTCCGCTCTTTTCGAAAACTTCAAAATATATAGGGTTGACCATATGGAAAAATCGTATAAAAGAACCAAACACACTGTATAAAAATGCCAAAATCAATTAAAACAGTCTTTGATTAAAAGAAATCGACTAAAGTTCGTGAAACGCCCCCTAGCGACCAAACAATTAGACAGTAATTTTTTCCCTTTAGTTCCATTGTTTTGCATCTCTTAAAATAAACGGTGACCTTGTAAATTAAATATGGACAGTAAAATTGCGCATAATTACTGCATTGAAAAACATTGATTTGTGCACAAAGTTTGTAATAAATAATTTGAACAGTTTTAATATCATGTTCAGTGGTTTTTAAAAATTGGATAGTCTAGATAGAATATTTCAAATGAATGAATGCACCCTACAATGCCTCACCTCGTATATTACTTACCGTTAATCGTTTGTCGGGATTAACCTCGATCATTCCTCTAAGCAGACTCTGGCAGTCGGGCGGTACAAAGTGAGGTATATGAAAGACGCCCCTTTTCACCTTTTCTAACAATTGCCTAAGATTATCGTCATCAAACGGTAAAGCGCCTACTAATAAAGCGTACAAGATCACACCGCACGACCACACGTCCGCCCTTCGACCGTCGTACTTCTCTCCCTGCAATCCCACACTTATACACGGTCAAAGTAAAAGCAATCCGTACCCTTATCACTTCGGGACAAGCGTAGTGAGGCGACCCGCAGCTCGTCTCCAGCATCGAGCCGATCGGTTGAAGCGAGGCCATACCGAAATCCGCAATTTTAATGTTGTTCTTCTCGTCGAGGAGCAGATTTTCCGGCTTCAGGTCCCTATGACTGAAACGAATCGTGTGATCAAGTCGACACGTGCGATGAGATCTTACCAAATTGAATGGCTATGGCAGAAATCTAAGGCGGACATTATTTGTCGAAAAAATCTCCGGGCCTCTTTCGGTGTCAGTCGACCCTTCTTGACTAGGTAATCGAAGAGCTCGCCGCCGGAAACGTGCTCCAACACCAGGTACCTACGGGTCGGACGTTAACTGTATCAATACACGCGCCGGTGACTTACAAGTATTTCTTGTTCTCGTAGACGTCCGATAAACCGAGCACGTGCGGATGATCGATCAGTTTCATTATTGCGATTTCTCTCTCCACCTACGAAAACTCCGACATGAAATTGCCTCGAGGCTCGGAGCTTACCTTCATGAGTACACTCTCGCTTAGCTTTTCCCGGTTAATTATCTTGATGGCGACTTTCCGTCCGGTGACGCAGTGAATGCCGAGCTTAACCAACCCTGCAAGTTCGTCGTGTAGCTCTAACGGGTGGTGTTAAGGGCAACGTACCTGTTTGTCCCTTTCCCAGTGTTTTCTCCAGTCGATAAGGTCCCACATACTGTTGAATTTCGGACGATGAATTACAATTATCCTTCTGCATGGTACCTCAATTTAGAAATGCATGTCACAATTTTCTTTTGAGCTTTTCGAAACCGGAGTGCATAATATCTATACGTAATTTGCCCATATTTTTTTTCAATTCGGCACGCACGCTAATTTTCGTCTGCGGGGGGAGGATTAAGGACACAAATTAAAAATCGACGCCGAACGTCCGCAAGCGGCACAACTTGCACCACACGCGAAACTCATCGCGAGAATTTAAAATAACATCGGATTCTGGTCAGCACTAATTTGTAGTTTTAGTACCATTCTACAGAAGGGTGGGTAGAAATCAATATTCTAGCTTTAAACCCCTCGATCTTAAATTTCCCCAAATACAAAATCGGCGACCTCTTCCGATATATCCGATTACGTTCAAATTATTCACGAAACACGCACAAAATACGCGAGATTACGAACGGCGTATTCGAAATTAAAAAAACAACCCCATCGAATAATACCCCTACAGTCGTCCACGTAAACTCTTGATAAGCGCGCGGGAGAACGCTACATCTGGGCCACCCTCAAAGGAAGCGAAATAAGAGCGATTAAGAGAGAAAACTTTATTCAATTACAACATTCACGACTTATATTCGATTCCCTGACCGATCATGCACAATCTCGCCAAGAGGCCGGACATTTGTACGAGCGTCGTTAATCCGTCAACGATTTTCATGTGCGTTATGCCGATTTCCTGCAACGAGAAAAATTCGCGTAAATCTGCAGACCCCGAAACCCGCGCAAACCTTAATGTACGACAGTTTGAGCGGCTCGTCGACGTCGAGATTTTTGCACACCTTGAAGACGTTTTTGATGATGTCTTCGGCGGCGTAGCCCAAACTCCACAAGTGCGCCATAATCTGAAAATGGAAATCAATTTTAAATTTTTTGCAAATTCATGTCGCAGCAAGTTCCCTCCACGAATTGGGTTAACGTGACACCTGGCGTGCAATATGCATAAATTACCAAACTTTGCACTTTGCAGGCGGCCACGGCTGTTCAGTCCGAAAATTTTTCGCAGCGGGAGCGCAATAAGCCAATCCGAAATTAGCTTTAATTACTTTACAACTTAAAAGGCACACACTGACGCGTAATTGACATTTCAAAGTTTGAAAAAATTAGTTTAGCAAAATGTCAAAATCAATTTTCAACTGTTGCTGCAGCACGAGGCGCCTTCGAGCTATGCAACAACGTGAGTATGTATGACGCATAATTAGTTTACTTCACGGTGGTATAGACCCGTGGTTTACTTACTACACGACGTCAATCCGAAGAAAAAACAACCCCCCGCCCACTTATTTTAATTTTGAGAAGCAGTTTCGGTATCTTAGTAAACGGTGCTAAGTAACTATTTTAAATCGGGGGAGAAAGACGCTTCAGACATATTTTACCGGACGCTTATGAAAAAATGACTAGCGCAAATTCAATAACGTGATTTATTTATGTACAATTAATTCATAAATAGATTTATTTATTACTACTTGTACACAAATTTATAACATACGAGTGCGAACTTCACTAATAATCACTTCGGCATCGATATTGAAACCTACATTAAACACAATTCAATTTCGGAAAGTTTCTAAGAAATCACCTGCGAGGTCGACATAAATGACATAGAAATAATGCGTCGCATCCACTTGCGTTCCTTATCACCGAAAACTAATCTTTCATCGACTTGATGGCGCCTCGATGGCGGCTGGTGGCGCCCCGATGTTTCCCTAGATTTGTAGAATGTTTGCTACAATATTTTTAGATGATTTTACTATATCAAACCAACTTTTCTATATCTTCACTACATACTATACTCCCCCCCCCCTCCCCATCGTAATTGTAATCAATCCTATCTGGTTTGCGCAATGTTATAACCTGTCCAAAGCAAGTTGTCATGTTTTTTTTAATTAGCGCATTTGCCAACGAAGTTAGTGCGTCACTTTCTCTGCCAGTTTGTTCGCGGCCTTAACTACTCCTACAGTTATAAAGACAAGCATATCGCGTATTGTAAAATCAGATGTGCACGTGTGCAATGTCAGGTTTCTTATTTATGGGGACATTTTTTCAAATTTTAACCGCAAATTCTTCTAATAACTACAAACATATCGCATTATTGTAAAAATCAGGTGTGCGTGTGCACAAACTGCGCAGTGTCAACTTTATTATTTATGAAGATATTTTTTTGAAGTATTAACTACAGATGCTTCTAGTAAAGACAAGCATATCGCATATTGTAAAATTAGATGTGCACATGTGCAATGTCATCTTTCTTATTTATGGAGATATATTTTTTAATTTTAACGACAGATACTTCTAGTAAAGGCAAACATATCGCATATTGTAAAAATCCATTGTGCGCATGCGCAAATCGCGCAATGTGAAATTTCTTATTTATGGAAATATTGTTTTGAAGTTTTAACCACAGATGCTTTTAAGCTAGCATTACACTAGTCAATTTATTCATGAATTAATTCACGAATTTATTGTCGTCAATTTCTTCACGACAGGGTTTGGTTTTTACATCTGTGAATAAATTGGTGAAGTTTTTGACAAATCTGTCATTGGAGCAGTGGTGCCATCCCAATCAAAAAAATAGGTTACAGTTGTAAAATGTTTTGTAATCATTTATTTCATTTCCAACATTTTAATCATCATAACTGGGTAACAAAGTTTTTCGGGTAAAATGTAAACATAAACATATAGTCATAACCTCACTCTCTCTGATATAAACAAAAATTTGTTGGTTGGTAGCACTGAACTTCACGGTAAAATTGGCGAAAAATAGAACATGTCTTAATTTCGTGAAGAAATTCACGAAGTTCTTCGTGAATTTATTGGACGTCAAAGTTGGTGTATTACATTATACAATTTCTTCATGAAGTAACTTCATGAATTAATTCATGAAGAAATTGACAAGTGTAATGCTAGCTTTAGTAAAGACAAGCATATCGCAAATTGTAAAAATCAGATATGCGCATGCACAAACTGCGCAAGTCAACTTCTTATTTATGGAGATATTTTTTCAAGTATTAACGACAGATGCTTCTAAGAAAAGACAAGCATATCGGCATATTGTAAAAATCAAAACGCAAACTGCGCAAATATCAACGTTTTATTTATGGAAATTTTTCCAGTATTAACTACAGTTAAGCTTTTAGTAAAGACAAGCATATCGCAAATTGGTAAAAATCCGATTTGCGCATGCGCAAACTGCACAACGTCAACTTTCTAATTTGTGGAGATACTTTTTGAAGTGTTCCACTACAGATGCTTATAGTAAATACAAGCATATCGCATATTCTAAAAATCAAACGCAAACTGCGCAATGTTAACGTTCTTATTTATGGAGATTTTTTTTCAGTATTAACTACAGATGCTTTTAGAAAAAGACAAGCATATCGCAAATTGTAAAAATCAGATTGTCGCATGCACAAAACTGCACAATGACAACTTTCTTATTTATGGAATAATTTTTTTGAAGTTTAAACCACAGATGCTTCTAGTAAAGAACAGACGTATCGCATATTGCAAAAATCAGAATGTGCGCATGCACAAACTGCGCAATGTCATCTTTCTTATTTATGGAGATATTTTTTTAAGTATTAACGACAGATGCTTCTAGAAAAGACAAACATTATCGCATATTGTAAAAATCAAACGCAAACTGCAACAATGTCAACGTTCTTATTTATGGAAATATTTTTTTGAAGTTTTAACCACAGATGCTTTTAGTAAAGGCAAACATATCGCATATTGTAAAAATCCGATGTGCGCATGGCGCAAAATGCACAATGTCAACTTTCTAATTTGTGGAGATATTTTTGAAGTATTAACTAAGATGCTTCTAGTAAAGACAAGCATATCGCATATTGTAAAAATCAACGCAAACTGCGCAATGTCAACGTTCTTATTTATGGGGATTTTTTCAGTATTAATTACAGATGCTTTTAGTAAAGACAAGCATATCACATATTGTAAAAATTAGATGTGCGCATGCACAAACTGCGCAATGTCATCTTTCTTATTTATGGAAATATTTTTTTGAAATTTTAACCACAGATGCTTCTAGTCAAGACAAGCATATCGCATATTGTAAAAATCAAACGCAAACGGCGCAATGTCAGCGTTCTTATTTATGGAGATTTTTTTTCAGTATTAACTATAGATGCTTTTAGTAAAGACAAGCATATCGCATATTGTAAAAATTAGATGTGCGCATGCAGAAACTGTGAAATGTTAATTTTCTTATTTAGGAAGATATTTCTTGAAATTATAAGCACAGATGCTTCTAGTAAAGACAAGCATATCGCATATTGTAAAAATTAGATGTGCACATGCACAAACTGCGCAATGTTAACTTTCTTATTTATGGAAATATTTTTTTGAAGTTTCAACCACAGATGCTTCTAGTAAAGACAAGCATATCGCATATTCTAAAAATTAGATGTGCGCATGCTCAGACTGTGCGATGCCAGTTTTCTTGTTTATGGCGACATTTTCTTGACGTTTTAACCATATATGCTGTTAGTAAAGAAAAACAAGACAAGCATTGCACATAATAAAAATGAAATATGCGCATTCTCAGACTCGCAGCCAATTTTAGAGATATTTCTATTAAAGCTAAACGACAGTAAAAAATCATATATGCGCATGAGCAGATTGCGCAACTTTTTAGCGCATTTTTTAAGAATTAAAAAAAAATGAATTATTTCCCGAGATGCCATTTTTGAAAGTATAACAAACAATCTAAGATATTGCATACCTATGCATGCCTTTGGTGGTGCAAAAATAATTTTTGAAAATAGGGGGCGGGGGTCATGGTATGCTAATGAAAGATCTCATCGAAATGAATTGGTTTCTACACTATAACTTTGCTGCGCGACTTCTTTTCAAGATCAGTAGTTGAGGGGGGGAGGGGGGGTTATCAATACATTTTATCTTTCATGATATTCTAAATTAACGTCCTCAGCACAAGGAACTGTTTTCCAACAACTACCACCCTTCTTTCTTACCCCTTATGAAAGTAGGAGGTTCTAGAAAGGGGGAAACTTCATGGTACTCTTATTTGTAAATATTTTTTAACCGCAGACGCTTCTAGTAAGGGAAAACACATTGCACAAAATCAGCAGTGACACAACAAAATGTAGGAAATTTTACGCTCTTTTCAAAACCCCAAAACATATAGGGTGGGCTGTATGAAAAAAATCGTATACAAAAATCCAACACCCTGTATATAAATTGTGTACCGCTATGGATTCTACATAAAAGTGCTCTTGTAAGAACGCACTCTTTTTCAGCCAGTTTTAGTGATCACTCTGTAGATGAGCACCCGGTATTTAGAAGCGTTTTAATTTGGGCTTCGTTACGAAGATTGTCGTTCCGAAAATATTTATTTCTGTTTAGGAGTTGGAAATATAAGGCAGAAATTAGTAATTTGTTAAAGAAAATAAGACGCCGCATTTAATAACGCCGTTTGCAACCGTTCCCGTACGATATATAAATTATTTTTAGAGACGCCGAGAGCTCTCTTGCCGGGGAAGATCGAGTTTAATGTTTAATGATATACGAAAACCAGCAAGGTTGTGCAGTTTAAGGCAACGCAATAATTGATCTCGCCGCTTGACCTCACATTCCAAGGAAGAAAAGAGCATTGCTGGACTGCCGAATTTGGAGATTTCATTCCGACAATTTGAATAAGTACAATTAACCTTAATGCGCCCTTAAAAAACTTGAATTTTGACACCAGTCCCGCATTTTTAAGACGCCTGGGAAGGACGTAAAGAAGTTTTAATTTTCGAGCGTTACCCCAAGGACACGCGGTTGAGCAGGTAAAAACCATCTCCCCTCCATGAAATGGCCGAATTTTCTAAAAGGGAAAGCGGTTGTTTAATGAGGATCTTTATGCTTTTGCATCTCTTCTTACATTTACTAAGTACTGTAATTTTTGAGCTTTTCCGTAAATTTATTTTGTATTCATATTATTTCATGTTTGCTTTTATATTAAGTTCATCGCATCGTATCTACAGCTTTTGCTTTTTCTTGCACAGTAATTTCTACTGCTCCGTTTAATTGCAAGGTAAGCTCCTTGTTACATTCAGTTTTATTAATTAATGGGGGGACCTTGACCAGAGAAAAGGCCGTACCCTTGGTGGCGCTCGAGTCCGTTCCTCTGACAGAACACCCAGGTTTCCGCCAACTGCCGCTACAGTGGTCCGCTCACATAATTTAGTGACAATAATTTGTAAATTATTTATTTTTCTTGTAAATTAAATTAAGATCATTATTCCGCTAATGCTAATTTAATTTTCATGCCGTTTGTGCGCGGACTTACTACCGAATTTCGTCGCACTCTGCCCAAATCAATTATCTTTAATAATAAGAAAGTTGTGGGCCAGTAAAAAAACTCGACTAAATCTGAGAAACGCCGCCTAGCGGCCAAAGGATTAGAGATACCTGAATTCTGTTTGCGCCAGTGGTTTTCCCTATAAAATTGAGCTCCCATAAGAAAGTGTCCAATTTGGACCACCCTGTACATATTCTTACCATAACACTTGTAAGTGTACCCCCACACCATAATGAATATTATTTATTTACAGATATCTTTATTTGACAATGTACCCGCAGGTATTTCAAGTAAAGGCAAACATATCGCATACAGTAACAATCAATAGACACATGCTCCAATTACCTTTAAAAAAATTAAATACAGGGTGCGTCACTTGTCATTCCCGCTTCGTTAAACGAAAAAGTATGCTATTTATGCGCATTCTTTAACACACCCCCCTCATTTACATAGCAATATGTTCTTTGTAACAAGAATTATAAATGAAACTTTTTTTTAGGTTTTGTGTAGTTTTTGGGGTGTAACTTTTCACCTGCACAGCCTACGTAGCTGAACAATAATAACTACCTTTCTTACATCCTTAAAATGTGTACCAGCTTTCAAAGCGATCGGACGTTTCTAAACAAAGTTATTGGGTACACGAACAGACAGACTGAGATAAATCATTATACACCTCCTGAAAATTGTGTAGGTGTTTAATTCAGACGTCTCCCGTCGTTTCCATGGAAACAATATTGTATTCTGTTCTGAACTTCATTTTATATTGTGCCCCGCATCCCATTTTTAATAAGAATGACAGATGTCCTTAAAATGCATAATCATTTGTTTCACTTAAACTACCCTTGCCGTTAAAGTGATCACTTTTCTACCCTTATGGTTAAAAGGCACTTTGGCCTACTCACTTAAACCTATTAAAATGTCAATTTATCATTTGCTATAAAATAAAAAGAATTGTTCTACCCCAGTGACACCTGTTATCTATATCAACACCCTAAAGAAGGAAATAATGATCAAACACCCCATTGCAATTTACCCACCTTATAAGCTTTCCGTATCTCCCCCTTTGTGCACTCCAATAACATATCTTTAATAAGTAGCGGATGGGGCTCGTCGCAAACCTTGAACACGTTCTCCGCGCTAACGAACCCGAAACCGTTGCACGTCGACTGCAGATTGTTAAGCGCCTGCCGCATATCGCCCTGCGCCGTAAAAACGATTGCCTCCAGTCCGTCCTCCGAGTACTCCACCTGCGTGAGACTGATTAAAAGCGTTCAAACAATCGGCATACTCACGTTTTCGTTACGACAAATTTGTATAACACGTGCCAGAACCTGGGCGTCTGTCAATTTAGAATATCGTAAAATGGCACAGCGCGACTGTATGGCTTCGATGACCTTCTCGCTGTAATTGCAGGCGAGCGCAAAACGAGTCGTGTTACTGTAAATTTCCATGGTTCGTCTCAAGGCTTGTTGCGCCCCCTCCGTCATACTATCGACCTCGTCCAAGATGATTATCTTATGCCTGCCGGGGGGCAGCGTTACCTTTTGTTGGGCAAACATTTTCACTTTGTTACGAACGACGTCGATACCGCGATCGTTTGACGCATTTAATTCCAGGACTGCGTCCTTAAACGAGGGGCCTAACAAGATTTTCGCCAAACACAATATGGTTGTTGTTTTACCGACACCTGGTGGTCCCTAAAATTTAGCTTGTAATGCGGGCGCAATACTCAAATCGGTGACGCACCGCTATAATAATGTTTGGTACGTTTCCTTGTTGCGAGAATATCGATAGACGTTTGATTGTATCCTCATTGCCAACGATGTCTGCGAAAGTTTGTGGTCGATACTTTTCAATCCTAAAAATCGACTCTCTTGTATTGTTAGAGAAAGCAAGATATACTACCAAGGAAGATTGTGAGCAGGAGGAACCTCTTTCACTGGTTTTGATGTACTTGGTATTGGTGCGTCTACGTCCATAGAATCGCCCATTTTTTGTATGGTTTTGCACGGTTGATGTAAATGAATCTTTTAATTTCCGGCAATGTGAGGTTATGTTGTATTCGTTTGCCTCCAATTTCAATTTCACAGGGTTGCCAGCGTTGCGCATTTTCTTTTAGAATACACAGTGCGTGTTAAAATTAGTCTTTTGACCAGTGTTGGTAATTCTATGCTTTTGACGAACACGCATACAGGAGTTAAACGCATGGGATCCCTTGAGACAAATTTCTTTTCACAATTGTTTTTGAATATGATAGTACCGCCATTTTATATTATGAGGTGAAAATAAATATCTGTCTATAAAAAAATAAATGACTTAACGTACTAAATCTGCTGGTTAACAATAAAAAAAATGCATCACCGTAAATTTAGTAACTGGTATTTCCGCCTACAAGTGATGTTAAAGGACAAAGGCATTGAAGAATGGCTGGAACAGCTGTAACAGAACCTGATGGCCGTGAGAATAATGCAGTAATTGAGAAAATCATTAAAGAGGATCGTGCATGACGTTTGCAAATAACTCATCGTGTCCCAGATTCACATTCTCCGGACATTGACCACATGTAAAAAGATTAAAATAAAATATTCTAATAAATATCGTGCCGGTCATGGGTATAACGGTCTTCGTTTGCGGATGCTGCGCCACTAAATTTGAACGGGTTGAAGGCCCCTGGTCCCTTTGTGCCTTGGCTCTAGAATACGTTTAGATTCTAGCGCAGGAGCTTGCCCTCTTATGGTAGGAAGATATTGGTTACACACAACATAGCCCATACACTCATGAGGGTTACAAGTCACACCTAACCTAATTACACAAAGCATGACATTTTGGTCTTAGTAGGACAGCCCGGATCACATCTCTTCTTGCGAAGAGGGGATCGGATCTGAAGGTTCCTCCCCAGATCCTTCCACTCGTTCCAATCGTTTAGCCGTATGGAAACCTTCCGAGCGTCTGCCTCAACAGCTAAGTGTAAAGGCTCTAGTCCCAGAAGTGCCTCCATGTCCAAGGTTTTCAGGGCTCTAGTGACTTCCAGCCAGGCGAGCCTCTGGATCTTTCCTAGCTTATTTCTGTAGGTTGCCCTGCGCATGGCAAGCCACCATAGAGATGTACTATACAGTATTATTGGTCGTATCACTCCAGTATAAAATAAACCAGTCGAGGGCCCCATGTAGAATCAAAAGCCTTTCTACATGCTCATAGTGGCTTTTTTGCGTATTCGCTCAATGTGCCTTTTCCAGGTCATGCGGGGGTCAATGATGACTCCCAAATATTTCACTGACCTGACCAGATCCAGTTAATATCCTCGAAGAGTGGGTCCATCAAGGGTCGCCCCCCTTCTATTCGTAAATGGAACAAGATCGGTCTTTTTCAAGTTAACGGAAAGACCATGGTTATTGCACCACCTATGCGCCTGTTCAAAAGCCCCTGCAAGAGCTCCTTATTCTTGGTGTTTCCAGTTCGTCCGCGTATCCTTATTGGGTATACGCTCCCTCCTCGTTCAGAGTGCGGAGGAGCTCGTCTAGTACCAGGCACCACAGCAGTGGAAACAACACTACCCCACCTTGCGGACATCCTCTAGTTGACAGGGTATGCCCAGGAGTGGCGCTACGGTGGTGCACGTGCAGTGCAGTAAAAAGCGAGGTAATCGTTACTCGGAACAATTAATATTTTTTATTGAAAATAAGTCACCCCCGCCACCTATGATCGCTGCCCCTGGGCATACCCGGGAATTTCGAGAGTAGATCTGGACTCGGCACCCGTGAATATGCAATAGATAATAAATGCATTTCTGCGCCCCTTTAATTTTTCATTTGCCTATTATATGCCAATTATATCTGTCATATGAGATATATAAAGCAGTCTATGACGCCCGAGGGCATAATGAGAGGGCATAATGAGATGACAATCCGTTATGCCGTCCCATTATGCCCTCAAACTGCCTGTCAAATATATTGATGGAGTTAGAAAGATGCTACTTGATTTGTATGAAGCACTAACAATAATTAATCATTACATTTGTATATTGGAAATGCATTATTTGGAACGATGAAAAGTAAAATGTTGTATGTACCTCAGGCATTACTCGATATTTAACCCTCGGGCGACTTACAATCCCTCGGGCCAGAGGCCCTCGGGCTCTGGCGCCCTCGGCATAAATATCGCCTTAATGCCCTTGATACATAAATAACTATTAGAAAATGCACGTCGTAGGATAGGCATAGGATACTGCAAACTATGTCTTCTTTTCCGGAGAGTCGCCCACGCACGTCCAATATAAATGTCAGTTTATATTAGTAAACGAAAAAGGAATGTTGGCTTAGGTCACGTTTATGTACTCGTCTTTAGACAAATATCCATTTATTGTACTTAATGACATCATAATCGGATAAAGCATTTCCCTATATATTTTACAGAACTAATTAAACCCCTGCCAATTTTAAGTTAAAGTTCCTAGTTTATTTTAAGTTGTACCTTAGCGACATCTAGAAGTAAATAGCTGCATTACTGCTTGCCGCCATTGCTGTTTACGTACTTTTTTAGAAATGATATCTTTGAGAATGATTCCTGAAGCTGAAGGCAATGTTGGATTTTAAATGACAAAACTTTCAATATTGAAAGAAGAGGAGTAGTTTTACAGCAATTGTACTTTAAAATTCAACAATTGCTTAAAATATAGTTAGGTATTTATTATACAAGACGATAAAGGGATATTTTAACCATTAATGGCCGTTTGCACCGACAAATTTAAGCGGAGCTTAGCTTAAGCGTAGCTTAAAATCCATGGCAACAATTATTGAGACAATGGTTGCCATGGATTTTAAGCTACACGTAAGCTAAGCTACACTTAAATTTGTCGGTGCAAACGGCCATAAGTGAATTAACTTTCACGAGATCGTCGTGTATAATACAAAACTTTATTTTATAGTAGATTCCATATAAATCATTGTAATGCTGCTGACAATTCTGAATTTAATTTAGAGACGTCAAAAATAGTAAGCTTAGATCCTGACGTCGCGATCGTTTCCATAGAAACAGAATTGTTATATGTTCTGAACGTTATTTTATATCGTGCATTAGAAATAAGAATGACAGATGTTATTAAAATTTACAGTCATCTGTTTCACTTTATCTACCCAAGGTGCGGTCCATCTATAGCGATTAGTCGAAGCGATTAGACGACGCGTTTAGACGCTCAAGTTGTTCGAGTACATTTTGCTTAGGTCTGGTCTATTTTTAGCGACAAGTCGAAATAAGTCGAAACAAGACGACGCGATTTCAAATCGAGTTGACTTCAAGGCAAAATAATCGTGAGTGTTGTGTAATGATCCTAGGGGTCCATCAAGCCGACACTGAAAACGTTGACTTACCCTGTACCATGGAGGTAAAAGATAATTGTATCTCCATGCCCTGTACTTACCGTTGGCAACTCTGGAAAAACTACAAGCAGAGCCACCTACCTTTCAAGTCGAAACGATGGACGTTTCGCGGCACTTTTGAATTTGGATAGCAGTCGGCTCGATATGGGTAGCACATCCGTGGTTGTGTAATCGGTTCTTGTACGTGTTGCGACGTGAGACATAATCGGGAAGGGAATTAAATAAAAATCAGAACTTTTGTGCGTCAGAAATTACAAGGAAAAATAAATATATTACGCACCCAACAAGACCATACCAGGGCAACCTTCTGCGGGACAAAAACCCCGGCATGGGCCACACAAATACATGAAATAAATCACCTACAGCAACGAAAGGCAAGGGAAAGTACATATAAATAAAACATCTCAAATTTGTGATGATCTTAGCTTCCTACTATCTTGGTGGCTAACGCCAACTTCAAGTCACACTGGAATATTGGACCACATTCGGTAGTAGCGGGAATGCCAAACTAACATGGATGCCTATTTGAATATTCTCGCTTACATTTCCCGCGAGAATCTGTCACTCTGGGGCCACTCCGAGTGCACTAAGATCGTGATCGTCATGTATAGGACACCTACGTTGTGTAATAACTGGGTTCTCAGCAGGCACTGAGGGCGTTTTATGGGTAAGGAACAGCAAAAGCAATAGTTGATTAAGTTTATATTGCAGCTAATACCAAAACGGTGCCCCTGCAGAGGGTCTTAAGTGGTTCTATACTACTCCGGCATTTACCTTACGAATTAGGAAAACTGCAGGAAAACCTAATTCGGAGTAGTCCTATAATGAACAACATCCAATGTACAGCACTTTTGAGCCCTCTAGAAACCGGGATAACCACTACAAACACGCTATGAGTAACCAAAATGGAATCGCGCCATTCCCCAGGTATTACAACACATACATCGCACAAAACTAAGATATGTCAAATATACCTCGCCGGGCGGGAGGAGTACCCAGGCCCAGTGGGGTCCCTGTAAACCTGGGCTAAAGTTGTTGGGTTCGGAACGAGTGAAAATGTTAGTGTTAGGTTCACCAAGGCCGTATAAACTTGAATAGCTCGATCCCCTCTAAACAAGCACACTTCCCTCTTGATTACTCACAGTCCCAAATAAGCAAATATAATGAATTGCAATGGAATAATCGAGAGTGACTTTTAAGCACAATACACAAATTAAATATGTACACATGCAAGTATATAAAGCACTTGAATTCAGTAAGTACATAAGTAAAGGGTTACAATCTGCATTCAAGTTACACACATTTATAGATTAATTGAATAAAGCAAATACCTCACCTGATATAACAAAGCAAAAGCACACAGCAATGATTAAGGTATAACAAAATATTTCAAGACAAGCCGTACTTTACACTTCAGCCGGTTACAAGAAAAAGACCATGAACACACATGTTAAATCCTATTTATTTGACCAACCCAAACCACGCGGTAATAAATCACCCATTCCCTGCATTTCACGCATTTCTAAGAAAAGCCAGCTTGCGCGTTAGCGCTCTGTCATGTATGTCATCTGTCAGTAAGAGTAACGTGCATTTAAAAATAATAATAACCAACAAAGTGTCAATAATTATTGTAAATAAACGAAACGAACGTCAGGATAAACTCAACTGTTTGAATTATCCGAGTACTACCGAAGACAAGCGTGTTAGCACGATTGACCGTAAGAAATAAGGTTTGGGCATTTCCTACGTACCGTAACCGTTCTAACCTTAGACCATATAGTACATGGACTGCTATTAGCCCTATGCTTTCAATACAAAATGGGTGGTCACGGATAGAGGGCACTGTAGTCGTGGGTATGTGAATCTCAGGGTAAACTAAAGTCGTATGAACACCACTCGGATCGCGTAAAGAGTAGCTTTTATGGTAACCGTGTAGTACAGGAAGCTTTAAATACTCTTGATTATCTTCTATACGTCCACAAATGAGAATAGGTTTGCTTTTTTTGCCATATCTAGGCGATTAATTAATTGACGTTTGTTAATTTATAGGTTGACAGCCTCAAATCGTGCTTCATCGGACAGACTCGTTTACCCTGAAACGCATATACCCAGGCGATGTCCTTGACCATATTTTAGTTACAATTAGCAGTCCATGTACTATATGGTCTAAGGTTCTAACGCAACGTTAACGCGAACTACAAATAAATATAAATATATATATAAATATAAATATGTATAAATGTTCACGCGCAACAAGTAGGGTTTAATTCCAAACGTTACGGTACGGCGTTGCGGGTACGGAACTATAAATTCAGCTTAAATAAGTGATCGTTACAAACGTGCTTAACAGTGTGACGACAACTGTCTTTATAGTAAGAACTATATAGTCGCTCTTCAGTAATGTATGTAGAATGTATATTTTCAAGAACCATCCTAAAAAATGATTGTATGAGCCCAGGAGTCATTTTTAAAGTACTTACGGTATAATTGTACTTGCAATTTGACAGTGGCGACCTCTATTGGTTCTCATGAATTGTATGCAGTCCCGATATTCATTTAGGAACACACGGTATATCGCATGTTGTGGTTTTAACTATTGAATCATGAGCATAAAAAGATACTGTATATTATATTCCTATCTTAGATCATACAATATAATATGATCTAAGTATTCTATATTGGAACACCTGCAGAAAAAAAGGAAATATTATTCCTATGTATGGTCCAAAATAAATCAAACTTTAGCACGTTTCAGACCTTGGATTGATTAGTTATAAACTGAATGCTTAAACACAAATTAAAAAGTGTCCCGCTCTCCGCCACAAAATATTGGTATTTACAGATGCGCTAAACGTATTGATAGGGGTAAACAATCAAACATATAGGGGCATTGTTGGGGGGGTATTTTTTTTCCATTACGTCACGCCACTAATAAATAAAGATGATTTATTTATGACGCCACTGCGTGAATGCTATGAAAATTGTATCAAAAATTAACAATCTGCAAATAGTTGCGCAATGTTAAAATAGATAGCGCTGGAGCTCATTGGAAAAATTCAAATCTGTAAATTTCACATTCCTCGAATTACGTAACCAGTCCTCTAGGTCGATATACGGTATTTTTAAGAATGATTCGACCCCCCCAATTATAACCATGATGACATAATGCAGGGTGACAAATAAACGCCGGACGTGAAAATATATATTGATTTATGTGCACCTTTCTTTCCTTCTCTAAACACATTAAGCAATTTCTAACATTTAGGTATCGAAACACTGGGGGGAATATGAATAAAATTTACTTATAATTAAGGCACCATCTAAATAAATTGTACAAAAAAAATAGGTCACGTCATTTTAAAAATGAATAAACTTAAATCGCAAAATACATCTAGATCTCTTTATAAACGGAACACAAATTCTATTTTAAAAAATGGAAGTAAATACAGCGAATCCCATGCACTACTCTTAGAATAAAGTGGAATTAGTTGCACGAGTACAACCGTCGTCATATCGATTTAGTATCGGTTCGAGTTTAGTGAAACTTCGAAAGTGCGGCAGTCTGGAAGCTTCAGTAAACGGGAATACTCAACCGATATAAGTATTATAATACAAATGGCGAGATAATATGTAAAAAAAATATAAACTTTTCCACTAGTCTACCGAGTTTCACATAATCCTACATTTCTCTTCGCCCTGAGGATCGCCCTGCTGGTGGTGGAGCTCTTCGGAGCCGAGCAAACCGGCGTACTCCCGGTGGCGGGTGGTGGAGCTCGCCAGCTGTCTCTTGATTCTGAAACGGAAATTATGTCAATAAGATAGAAGTGGGGCGTGTCCTTGAAGACGGCCTAGTTACCTGTCCGTGACATCGTTGGCAATTTAAATTTATGGAAATGACTGACGTAATTGCCAAGGTGGTCAATATCGAGTGTAGGTGTAGCAGATAAATAAAAAATAAAGCCGACGTTGAGGTTTATTTAATACAAATTATAAAAATATCTTGTAACTTAGTAACGATTTCTGAAGAGTGAAGTATGTCTACCCGTCACGTACCTTTCTGACACGGCAACTTCTTCTCCGCTGTTGTCGATTAACGTAGTCACCATGTTGTCCGCCACGAACCACTTTTGCGACTTCATGACGATGTTGGTCGGCGGCTCGTGCTCCCTCCCCAGATTGGCGGACCAGACCGTCACGTAACCGTTCGGCTCGATTTTGACGGTACGATGAAACTTGTGGGTCGTCTCCATGTCGCCCGCCTTTCTAAGAATTTGCCAGCCCCCGACCGACATCTCCTTGTTTCCCTTATTGTGCAACTTGACGAATTGCCCCTCGGGATCGACGTCGGAAATCTCGATGTCGGTCTTGGACGAGCTCGTCACGCTGTAATCGGACATGCTCTGCTCCTGCTCCTCGAGAAGGGTGCGTTTGCGTTTCGCGCCCGCACGCAGCGGAGTACCGCGACGCTGCATCGAGCCGGAACGGACCGAGTGGACTTCCGTCACGCCGCTCGGGGAGATACGCAGACGGTCCTCCTCGGACTCGAGAAGTTTGCGGTACGCGGCGATTTCGAGGTCGAGCGACACCTTGATGTCCATCAGGTCTTGGTACTCCTGAAGCTGAAGGGCCATCTCGTCGCGGAGACGACTCAGCTCGCCCTCGAGCAGCGCCAAGTCTTCGGCGTGCCGGATTCGTTCGTTCTCCAGCTGCTTCTCCAAATCACGCGCGCGACTCGTCAAAATCGAATTTTGATTTTCCAAGTCGGCGACGCGCCCCGAAAGGGTGTCGATGCGGGTGCGCACCTGGCGAAGCTCGTCGATTGCGGCGGCCGCCGCGCCGGTATTACGATTCGCGGCGCTCTGCAGATTCTTGATTTTATTCTCGTAGAGCATCTCGATTTCTTGCCGATTGCTCGCCATCTGCGACTCGTACTGGTCGCGCAGGTCGTGCAAGGCGTGCTGTAGTTTGGCCTCGTACTGTTCGGCTAGGCGACCGTCGATTTCGGTTATTTCGATTTGTCGCTTCGTGCGAGTTTCGGTGAGCTGCTGCTGGTAGACTTGGTCTTTGAACGCTAACTCTTCGCGTAAACTCTGATTGGAGTTTTCCACGTCGACGCGTCCTAAGGATTCGTCCTCGAGCTGTTTACGTAAATCCTCGAGCTGCTTCTTGAGCTTGTCTCGCTCCTTTTCCATGTCGCGCAGTTCGGCTTGCGCCTTTTTCGCGTCCGACTGCGCTTGGTTGTACTTCAGCTGTAAGTCGTTGCTGCGGGTCTCGAGTATGCGAACCGAATTCTCCGAGATCACCAGATCTTTGGACTTCTTGGCGAGCACCGCCTTCAGTTCCTCGTTCTCGTCCCACAGACGTTTTGTGTCGATCTCAAGCTTGGCCTTCTCCTTGTGAGTCTCGTCGAGCAACTTCCGAGCGTCGCTCAGCTCGTGATCGTACATCGCCTTGATGTTATGGACCTCCCTGGTGACGGTCTCCTGGGTCGTTTGAACTTCGCGGCTAAGACGACTATTTTCCGCCTCCAGGTAACGTACCTTGTCGATGTAAGCGGCGAGTCGGTCATTTAAATTTTGCAATTCGGCCTTCTCCTGCAAACGGGAATGTCTCGTAGGACTCAGCGGGCTCGAGGGCCGCCCGATTTGGGAAGCCGGCGTCGCACTTTTCCTTGTTTTCGATGCCATTTTGTTTCACTTTCCAAACACTGAACTGATCGATTCTCACTCTGCTGATCACTAAACGGGATTGTACACGGAAAACGCGGTCGAGGTCTACGAGGTAACCCAACTATTTTTGGAGATGATGCACTCGCGTTACTTTCAGCATTTGCCGCCGCAAACACACCGCACAAACACTAACGGTTTTCAAGACTTTCGTTGATAAGGTGCGGCTCCGGCTTCTTCTAATTACAGAAATCTGCACAAATACCTTACTTACCGACGTAATTCACTTGTTCGCCCACATGCGGCGCTAGCTAATTTAAAAATTATAACGGCCGTAGTCAAACTTTTTGAAGCGTCATTCGCCAAAATTGTGGACCAGATCTTATCAAAACGGTTATTATAATCCCGACACGTGTTTCCGGTTTCCTGCCAAATTTAATCCATTATTATAACTAATGATAATTGGTCCAACGTTTTATTGTGGTTTTTTACTACCTACCTACATTAATATTTATGACCTAGACAACCGACATCCCCCCAACTAATTTTACACCATTCAATTACGAATATTTACCCGCCTGTGGGTAGGTCAAAATACTCACTTATGTTTGGTTAGGCATAGACAACATAAGTATCGCTCATATTACTTGTTTTCCTCATTATGAACGTGAAATAGATGTTTCCAGGGATTTTATTGATATAAAGCAAACAAACAGTCTTTAAGTGCTATTAATTTATGCTTTCAGATTATTGGATAACGAAAAAAAAACAGAACGAGAACAAGATTGCAAGGTAATCGTTTACAAACAATGATTAAGTTAGATAGACATTTAATGATACCTACTGTTAGTATTTCTATCTACTAATCATTAATTAATGAACAAACAGGATTTAAAATCAAACAACTTAATGATATTCTAATTATAACAAATGGAACAACATATACAGGGTGATCAGAGCGAGCAGCGTGGAACAACTGCAGTGAAAGTTGAACTATCCGCAAAACAGCGAATCATTTCTTTAAGATTTTGATTTTATCATCGCATTTAAAAAAATGGGCCGATGTCAAATATTGTAGGTATCAACCAACAGAATGATTGTGCGGAAACCATTTTTTGAAGTTTGCCATAATTTTGGAAATAACTAATTGATAAACCTTGCCTTGAAGATAACGGCGCCTCTATAAAACATATAGACATGGAGTTTGGCGATTTACAACCAGCTAACAAAATTGTATGATTGTACATAGGTATATCTTTTTCATCCCTTAAATTGGGGAAAATGTTTTGATGACATCATGAAGTATTTCACCAACTGAAAGCACAGTTAGGCAACTTAATTTACACCATACGCTCCCTGGCGAAATTGTCATTAACTGGCAATTGCGAATTAATCCTATTTATTTTTCTAACAATAGCATTAGAGATTAGGCTATTCATTGTTATCTGTAATAAAATTCACCTCTTCGGGATTTGTCCGGCATCATTAACACCTTCGTATAATTAGCTAATAAAGTACTTAATTTAATTTATTTCTTTGCTGGTCTCATTGATTAGAAGTTTGTAATTATAAGATTCTTGTGGATACCTACTTCCGTAATTACACCAAGTATTACTGTTTCACGCAAACCGCTACCTAAAAGTATTCAAGCTTTCATTGATCAATTTATATCTGAAAATATGCATACCAACATAGTTTTTCTTGACATATCGAAAGAAAATATTATGATGACAGTTTCACTTCGGGTTCTACCGCATGTCGATACCAACTCCTTATTTTAAATAGAAAACCCTGTATTTTTTGCATTTTCGAAATCTACATGAAAACCTACGCCGTTTGATACCAAAATTTCCCTATACCCAGAATCAAAGGTTTTCATGTTACTCAAGATTTTTCAAAATTTTTTATGTGTGATTGCTAGTCTTTTGAGCTGTATTTATGACTCCGTTGCCTTGAAGTTCAATAGTATATTGGAAGACAAGTGTTACAATGTGACCTATTGTAATATAATACGACTATCTTGTGGCACGAGTGGCGTAGCGAAGCGGAGCCACGAGTGTCCACAAGATAGGAGTATTACAATAAAGCATTGTAACATGTGTTTTTCATACTATTTTTTCTATTTCGGGGCTTTAATTTAATTAAAAAGTAATTATCAAAAACTACAGGAAACTTTAAAATTAATATGTCTTAAGTTGGCAACACCATTTACGTTGACAAATTTTAAGTTGGCAGCGTAGATAAACACAACACTGACATTTGGAAACTTTAAACGGTGTACTTAAACTGCCGTTGAACGGTCGTGTACTAAAATGCCGTTAGCAGATATGACGTCAATTATGTGACGCGTTTGACAGTACTAGCAGATTCGTCATCAAATTGACGGCATCTTATTATACTGCCGTTACAGCTGTTAGTGCATGTTACTTAATATACTATATTTGCCGAGAGCGTATTCAAAGTTAAAGTGGTTGTTGTTAATCATTGTTGGAACAACTTGTGCCAAATATGAACTAAATCTGATCTGTTGATATAGAATGAGGTAAGTGCTATAGTCCATACGTTTTCTAATTGCTCTTATCTACTTTTAGTTAAGTTAGGTTTAGATACCTATTATACATGCCAAGAATGTTAAAAGTTGGAGATAGATTTACCTCATTTGCGGATGCAAAAAAAGCCATCGCGGAACTTGGTGACAATACGTATACGACATTTTGGAAACGAGATGCACGTACTATTGCAAGTAGTAAAATTGCTAGACAAATAAAAAGTTCTTTAATATATTATCAACTTGTTTATGCATGCAATCATGGTGGAAGGAAATTCAAGAGCAGTGGTAAGAAAATTCGGCAGTCTTGGACATTTAAAGAAGATTGTCCTGTACATGTAAGATTCAAGGCATCATTAGATGGAAATGCATTAGAAGTAACGTCGATTCAAAGCCAGCACAATCATGACACATCTAAAGTAAGTACCTACATCTATAATTGGATTTTTAGGGTTTAACGATAATGGATTCGGATTGTAAATTACTATAGTTTCTTAGATGAAATGAACTTAATTTTCATAGTTGTCTATAGCAATTACATTAATCTATAATTTTGTGCATCCAGCCGTATAATTATTTTCCATTTTTTAGTGCAATTGTTTGAAATCGGTTCATTTCTTTTCTAAAGGTATTTGAATTTAATGGATAATTATGACTTTTCAGGTCTTATATGCACATACCCCTAGTCAAAGAAGGCTGTCTAGCAACATGAAGGAAAGTGTAAAAGATTATTTGAATATGAAAGCAAATAGAAAAATGATACAACAAAAATTGCAAGAAAGCACTGGTAAAATCATTACTTTGCAAGATTTAACAAATATAACCAAAAATGACCAATCCAAAACAGAAAATCTGGATAACTGCTTAAAAATACTCAAAACGAAATATGGTAACCTGGAGGATTTATTATTGTGGTAGTGTTAAATAATTATCTATTATTACTTTTAGGTGCCCATGCAGCTGTATTGCGAGACGTAGACAATAATTTTAGGGGTCTTTTTATTCAAACGCCAGCTATGAAAAGCACCATGAATGCATTTCCAGAATTTCTTGCAGTAGATGCAACATATAAATTACTTAAAATAGGATTACCCGTTTTTCTTATAATTGTAGAAGACGGTAATTGTCAAACTGAAATAGTGGGTGTGTGTATACTGGCATCAGAAGGTAGACAAAGTTTCACCTGGTTCTTAGAAACCTTTAAAAGTGAGAATCCAGCATGGATAAACGTGAAATGCATAATGACTGACAAGGACTTACATGAAAGAGAAGTAATTAAGAATTGTTTTCCTAATGTAAACCTTATAATATGCGTGTTCCACACATTGAAAATATTTTATCGTGAAATTTCGTGTCAAAAAATGGGAATTACTCCAAGTCAGCGTACACTTAGTTTAGAACTAATTCAGAAATTGGTCTACGCTAAGACAGATGATGACTACGAAAAATACATGCAAGGCTTAAAAGATAGTGTACCTCGAACAGTGTATGAGTATTTTATGAAAAACTGGCACAACACTAAAGATGAGTGGAATCTAGGGAAAAATTATTTTAAGAACAGTTTTTTAAATAACACAAATAACCGTCTGGAATCTATTAACGCTAAACTAAAGTCAGTTATAAACAAAAATAGTCCTTTGGAACATTTTATAAACAGCTTGTTTACAATTATTTCAAGTTTGGAGACAGAAAGGGATCATAAAGCAGTTTATGGTATTTTAAAAAAACCTGTCGACATGTTTCCCGAAGACTCAGATGAAAGAAAATATTTCAAACTGCTCACACGTGAAGCTTCAAAGCATGTTTTAAGAGAAATTCGTATTTCGGAACAAATCAGAAGTATTACTGTTTCTGCAGATGGTTATTACATCATTACTGATAGTCGGGGGTCCACAAAAACTACAGTTTCTTCGTGTAATTGTGTAATGTATGATGCAATGATTTTACCCTGCAAGCATATTTTTGCATTGAGGCGGCATTTACATGTAGAGCTTTTTGATAGAATGCTTGTAAACCACAGGTGGACCATGGATTATTATAAAGGCAAGCAGCGAACATTATAACGTCTTTGCTTGAAGACAATGAATCGACAGGATATCACTTGCCATGTACATCTAATGATAGCACTATATCTGTATCACTGACCACACAAGGGCATCAACCAATATATTCCTATGCACAAAGAAGAAAAAAATGTCTTCTGTTATGTACTGAACTTGCCGACTTAGCAGCACAACGTACGGGCATGTTATTTGAGCAAAGGCTTAATCTATTAAAAAATCTCAAAACATTGTGGGCTAATGATACTGCTGTTCTACTTACGCCTATAGACGTTAGAGACGAAAATGACCGGCAATTTATTGTTGAAAGTAATGATGAAGTAGTATTTGAAAATGAAAATTTTTCAGAGTTTTGTAACGAAGTGGTTATCCAAGACCTAAATATATTAGGTGACGTAAATCTCTCATCTCTGGGCCACACTGAAGTTATTGAGGAGGTCAATATGGAAGAATCAAATAAAGAAAATGAAGTTCCTGTTACCGCTGATATTAATGTACGTGACTGCAACAACCAATCCCAGCAAACTGTTCAAGTAAATGACATTAATTTGTCGACTATCAAAATGCCAGTTGCAATAAAGAAACGAGGACGCCCAAAAGGGCAAGACTTAACAGTAATAGGATTACCAAAAC